ATTGGTGCGGTGTTGGAACAGTGTCACGAGGACGGTTGGCATCCGGTTGAGTATTTCTCCCAAAAGGTGCCTCTCGTCAACACTCTCGACGACGCTAGGAAGAAAGAGCTACTCGCGTTCGTCACCGTTCTCAAACGGTGGCGCCACCTTCTTCTCGGCCGGCGGCGTTTTAAATGGAATACGGACAACAATCCGTTGACCTTTTACAAAACGCAAGACACGGTCATTGTCACGATCGGTCGATGGATGTATTACGTCGACCAGTTCGATTTTGACCCGTGCCACATTCCCGGTCCTGCCAATCGAGCTGCGGACGCCCTCTCACGACGGCTCGACTTTTGCGTCATTGTGACCACGAAATTTGACCTCGATGACAATCTGCAGCCGCATTTCGTCAAAGGCTACAAGTCCGATCCGACTTACTCTACACTGTACGAGGAGCTTTCATCGGATCMCCCGCCGGCGAGCCACTATCGGATTTCCGACGGGTTTCTTCTCCTTCACACGAGAGGAAAGGACTTGTTAGTTGTGCCCCAAGATCGCATCTTACGGACTCGTCTTCTCGACGAATTCCACGATGCACGACTTTCGACACACCTTGGCGTGAACCGCACACTAGCACGCCTCCGCCAGTGTTTTCACTGGCCCGACGTCCTTCACGACGTCACGAGGTACATTGAGTCATGTGCAGTTTGCCACCGTAACAACGGTCGATCTCGAGTCGCCTTCGGCGAACTGAAACCGTTGCCGATCCCTCGGGCACCACGCCTCTCCATTGCTATGGACGTGACAGGCCCGTTTCCCCACGATCGCCACGACCATGACGGTATTCTCACAGTCGTTGACCGTTTGAGCAAGTATGCTSGCTTCCTTCCTTGCAAGTATCATGCTGCAGCACCTGAGCTCGCACGACTCTTGCACACCGGTTGGATTACCAACCAGGGTGTTCCAAAAGATATAGTGAGTGACCGAGATACTCGCTTCATGTCGGCCTTTTGGACTTCTCTGATGACTGAGTCCGGCACGACAATGAAGCCGAGCTCGGCTCGGCACCCGCAGACGGATGGTCAGACGGAGCGAGCGCACCAGACCGCTCAGATGATGTTGCGTACGTTCATCCGTCCCGACCAGAAAGATTGGGTTGACCGGCTTCCCGACATCGAGTTCGCCTACAACACTTCGGTGCACCCGGCGATCTGCGCCACACCATTCGAGCTACATCATGGTGGAGAGAAAGCACGGATCTTCGCTGATCTCCTTTTGCCACAGGCTGCCGACATAGACGTCCCTTGTTCTCCCGCTTCCATCCGGAAGTACCGGGACTTGCTGATCAAAGCCCGCGCAAATATGCAAAAGGCTCAGATCCGCATGCAGCAGCAAGCTAACCGACGTCGACTTCCATGTCCTTTCCGCGAGGTAGACCGTGTTTGGGTCCTCTCCGAGGAATTTGCRCTCGAGCAGGATGTTTCGCGCGAACTCCTTCCGAAATGGTTCGGACCATGGGAAGTCACTTCTGCAGTTGGAGAC